CCCCGTCTCTACTAAAAATACAAAATATTAGCTGGGCATGGTGGCGTGTGCCTGTAATCCCAGCTACTCAGGAGGCTGAGGCAGGAGAATTGCCTGAACCCAGGAGGCGGAGGTTGTGGTGAGCCGAGATCGCGCCATTGCACTCCAGCCTGGGATAACAAGAGCGAAACTCCGTCTCAAAAAAAAAAAAAAAAAAAAAAAAAAAAAAAAAAAAACCAATGTGTACCCAAACAATAAGTATCCAAGAAAAACAGCTATCGGCTATCTGTTGTACAGTTTTTCAACTAAAAGGTGCCAGGGAGATTCCATGATTACCACAAGTAATTTGAGCCACTGAAGATTTATACTGGCAAAAATATAGATGTCACACTAGTATGATTTAAAAGTCAAAGTATTAATATTTATCTAATTAAACTCTAACCAAATTTCATATGGTCTCTATTGGGGAAAGCATTTCCTAATGTGATTTTTCTGTTGCTATGTATCTTTCAGTTCATTTTTGTTCAGCCCCCATCCTGTCACAGTACTTATCAACCTTTTGTTAGTTACCAACATTAAATAAAAATTTTTAATCTACTAAAAAAAATTGATGTGCTAAAAACATGGAAACACCTTTACTTTGGTTTATTTATGCAGTCAATGAACATCTTTCATTGAACTTTCTGTGATCTGGAGAATACATGGTGCCCAGGAGATTTTAAATCATGGGCTATATTTATCCACTATTAACAAAATAGAAAAATGGGGCTGAGCCTAGGCTTTTCCTTTCCTCCCTATAATTTCCTCTGTTTCTAATTTTGTAGCAATCAAGTTTCAACAAGTTAATCAAATGTCTTTTGTGTGGCAGGTGCCAGGGTGTTTGTTTTCATTAGAATACCAAATGCCATATTTAGGAACTTGGCCTTTGGGTTAACTGGCTACAAGTATGGCTTTAAACCATTAAATGTGTGTATTTAAACTCAGTGTTTATTTTTACAACTTCTTAACCAAATAATCAGGATGTGGTTATCTGTAAGATGATACATCATGATTTTTTCCTATATACACCCAAGCCCAAAAATACATACCTCAGACATAATCATCAATACTATAAACACTCATCATTCTGTGCCATTTATAAGATTACAGAGACGAGGTAAAACCTGGTTAGCAAAATGTGCATAAAAATAGTTAAAGGAAATCCACATAGAAAGACATATAAAATTGGGCAGTTTTCACATTTGAAACCTAGTTTTATGATAAAAAGGAAGAAAGGAAACAAACAATTGGAGTTTGTCTTTGATTAAATGGGACAACAGTTTCTTTTAAAAAAGATATATAAGCCAGTGCAGTGGCTCACGCCTGTAATCCCAGCACTTTGGGAGGCCAAGGCAAGTGGATCACCTGAGGTCAAGAGTTCTAGAACCAGCCTGGCCAACATAGTGAAATCCCATTTCTACTAAAAATACAAAAAATTAGCTGTGCATGATGGCAGGCACCTGTAATCCCAGCTACTCGGGAAGAGGCAGGAGAATCGCGTGAACTTGGGAGGCGGCTGTTGCACTGAACCGAGATTGAGCCATTGCACTCCAGCCTGGGCAACAGAGCGAAACTCTATCTCAAAAAAATAAAAATAAATAAAAGATACATTGGAAATATGAAATAATTTTGTAAATACAGTTATGTTCTTAGTATATCCTCCTTTATGTAAAGTTAAAGAGACATCAGGAAAATCAGGAGAAAACACAATTAAGTGGCTGGTTTCTAAAGCAATTGCTAAGGTAGGATTTGGTTGGTATTTTCATCAGATAACTATTGCATTCTTATTGGTTATTTTCTCAATTTAGAAACATAGTCATGATTTACTGTTTTTTTGTTTTTGATTTTTTAATATCCTTACTGAAAATCTCAGTCCAAATATCAAGTTTAGGAAAAAGAGAACACAGAGAGAATTTACTGCTCCCTTTCAGAAAAGAAAAGAACTAGCATTATGTGACAAGACTCTGAAATAAACTCATTGGTGTCATAGTGAACAACTATTTTAAACATTACATAAAAATCCAAATTATATTTGATAAATAAATGTTATGGACAGTGCCAAAATTGCTAAAATATTTTATCTCCATGTTAAGTCTTAACTGACATAGTTCATTCAGATGTCATTTTGTTTATATAAAACATTTGTTCACACCAGCATGTAACATTTGTTACTAAAATCTACACAGTTTCACAGTTACAAGTTGTTTTTTGTTGTTGTTTTTAGGAATGTGAGCCAAAGTTGTTTTGTTTTTGTGTGTGTGTGTGTTTCTTTGGGGTTTTTTTTTTTTTTTTTTTTTTTTTGTCTTTTCTTGCATTGGAAATACTCTTTGATAACGTCCTAGGCTTAAAATTCTTTGCCATAGTCCTTAACTGCTACACAACTGCAATCAATCACTTGTCAGGGTCTTGCCTCTCTTGTTAGTTTTACAGGGGCTACCTGTGTGAGTCTAGGCTCACGCTGCTATAAAGACACAGCTGAGAATGGTTGATTTATAAAGAAAAAAGGTTTAATTGGCTCACAGTTATGTAGGCTGTACAGGAAACATGGCTGGGGAGGCCTCATGAAACTTACGATGTTGGTGGAAGGCAAAGGAGAAGCAGGCAATTCTTCATATGACCAGAGCAGGAGGAAAAAGAGAGGAGAGGTGCTATACACTTTTAAATAACCAGATATCTCGATAATTATCATGAGAGAACAGCACCAAAGGGAAACCTGTCCCCATTATCCAGTTGCCTCTCTCCAGGCCCCGCCTCCAACACTAGAGGCAACTCACAGCAGTGGGTTACCAGTGGCACTCACCCAAGCCTCTACCTCTGTGGGAACTCAGTGAGCTCAAGGAAAGAGCCACAGTAACAATTCTTCAAGAAAATGTCAAAAAAAAAAAAAATCTTGGGTCATGCCAAAACAAATGCAGTTATTAAGGAAATATTTAATGCTGTCTCATATTCTTTCACATACAGGTTATAAATAGTAAATGAGATAGAAAGGGGATGCATGAATCAATTCAATCCTCTCAAAGCTCATTTGAGATAGGAATTACTTCTCATTTCACAAACAAGTAAAATGAACCTTGAGTAGGGTAAATGATGACATATTCAAGGTTACAGAGATATCAAAGCAAAAACATGACTCAAATCCAATCTTTCAGATTCCATTCTAGCTTCCATTTTCTCTTTATCTCCAGTAGGTTTTCCAAATGATTTTTTTAAGCCAATAGAGTTTCCTGAGACTTTTCATTCCTAAAGGATGAACTTGGAAGGCTTTCCCACTGCCATACACCACTAGGCAAAGCTTGGAATCATGCCTATTTTGTTCTACCTCGTGCTGCATGATCTTTCCTCAGCAGTGCAATGCCCCATTTCACCTACAGTTTCGTAACTTACAGTAGTCAAACTGGCAGCAGGTCAGCCTGATGTAGACTATAGATGAGCTTTAGTTGACTGGATAGTAGCTTTTTAATCTAAAAAGTCAGACACATATAAATAACACATCTTTGTGCTCATTATCCACAATTAACAAGGGTAATATTTTTATGTATTTCCTTTAAAATATATATAGATTAAAAACTCAGTCCCTTATGTTTTTCTCTATAATTTTACTCATTTTTTCTTCTCTGCAGAGGTAATCATAATCATGAATCAAGTTCCAAAATGTATATTGCTTTGGGCATTAACATTTTCAGTAAATGGTATAAATGTCATGTATTGTTCTACACTTCCCGTTTCTCTCCAAAACTGTTTTTTTATAAATCCATACATATAAATAAACATATATTTAAGTTATTTGTTTTCAAGGTAAATATGTATTTAAGTCATTTATTTTAAGTCAGTAGTTTGAATACATCTCAATTAATAAATCTATTTTCCCTCGAGTGGGGCACCTGAGTTGACTCCATTTTTTGACTATTATAAACAATGAGGCGATGAACTTCCAGATACATGTCTTCATATAAACATTGACAGTTTCTCTCAGGAATATATACCTAGAAGTGAAATAAATATGTCCTAGATAGGAGATAAGCATTTTCAACCTTTTTGTAAATTGCTCAATTTTCTCCAAATAATTGGATTCATTTTCAACTCCACCAGAATTTTTTGTGTTTTTGTTTCCTGAAACCACTACATTGCAAGTTCGACCAATATTTTACCAAACTAAGTGTATAAAACGGTATTTCACTTCTCTTTTTATTAGCGTTGAAGAAATTGTATGTGTTACGAAAAATTTTGTCTGTTCATTTTCTATGAAATGAGTGTTCATAACTTTGGCCCATTTTTATTTAATTGTGTGTCAATCTTTAAAGTTGTATTTAAAGCATTTATTTACATTTTCTAAATGCTAATCTTTTATTTATGTATATATTGAAAATATCTTCTATTAAGTAATTTGTCTTTTGATATTTTACTGTAACATATGTAATTTTTAAATTTTGATATAGTAATATCTGATAGATTTAATAACAATTTTGAATCTTGCTTATGAAATCCTGACATAACACAAGGACATAAAGAAATTCTCCTACTGATAGTGGGTGTTTTGAATTTTGGATTTAAATAGTTTTAGACACCACAGCCTCTCTGGTTCACCACAAACCAATAAGAACTTATTCTCTAATGCCTTGCCACTGTTATGAATTTCTCCTCAGGTACACATATAAAATTGTAATCTCTAGATCTGACAGTCAAAAAATAAAGTTACATTAACCATATTTCACAGATTGTGGGTTAGTTTGAATTAAATTAGTATTATAGCCAAACAGCCCTAATCTAAGTTGCCATGGAAAAGAAACCTTGATAGAATTCATTCTGGGAGATGAATAGCTTCTATTAAGTATAATTTAAGTTTTGTAGAGATGCACTCCAATATACTGAAATGAAATAATCTGGTTTACCATTTACCGCTAACAGGCCTTTTAGGAGCTTTTGTTTTTCATCTTTACATTTCAAATGAATTCAATGCTCACTATGACATATGCGACCCTCAGATGCTGGACTGGAGATCGGCAAGTGTGTGTTTCATCCTGGCTGTGACTCTGATGCTGTGGAGCTCAGGACAAGTCCTCTCAATAGATGTAACAACAGAGGTAATGGAAACTAGCTTACAAAAATATAAATATATATATGTGTGTGTATATATATATATATATATACATATGTTTGACATGTTTTATAAATGACATGTTTATATATAAACGCATATGTATTAAAATATATTTTATATACATAAATATAATTTTTATATATTTGTATATCATGTATTATGTTTTTATATAGAATGTATATTTTATAAATGTAATATATATACTTATATATTACATATATATTCTTTTATTACCATATCATTTCTACTAGAGTAAGAAGCCGGTGCAGCTACTAATAAGAAAAGGTACACAAAATAAAATAGAGAAATAGCACCAAATCAAGAAAATCAGTATTTTTTATTGTCTTATTTTTGTTGCCAACGTGACATTCAAGGTTGTGAACTTTAAGTGAAAAGAGCAGTAATCATGATTTTCTCCCCACAGAGGAGTCAGAGCAAGCCAGTTATCTCAATGTGAAAAGAAATTTAAGAACAAAGATTTGTTTTTCTTGAACAAAAAAGCTTAAGATCCATTATTATAGCCACATTTAATTAAATCAGTTATGCCAGAATCAGAAATGCTTTTATGTCAAATTTGAAGTGGTTTGCATGCCACAATTTGAGTAGTTTTCTTCAAATTTTTAATTACAGTACAAATGTTTTCTTGGTGCTGTGGCTAAAGTACAAAGAAAAGGAAATATGAGGGCATCACAAGGAGAAAAATTAGTTTATTTGATCTTTTTAAAATCTTTTTTTTTAGTTTATTTGATCTTATTAGAAACATTTTTTGTGTTTCTTAAATAGCATAAAGTTGAGAGTCTGAAATGCATTATATTAAAGGACAAGTTTTATAAACGTTTTATGATTTTTTTTCTGAAGATTAAGGATATTTCTTTAAAAATGATTTTTTATGTGTGTTAGTTCAAAAAATGAAAGCGTATTTTTGGAGGATGGTTTGAAAGATAAAAAATCTTTGCCTTTGAAGGCTTATCTCCTTTAAGTTTTCTTTCTAGCCATTTCTGCATCCTTCCCATCTCCAGTTTCTATTTTGTCAGGTTTATATAAGGAAGTGACAGAAGCTAAGATCTGTGGAATAGTTGGAAACCATACTGTGGGCTTTGTACTATAAGTAACAAAGGACTGCAAGAGATTTTTAATTTTCTTTTTATAAGACAAAAGTTGTATTGGGGGAAACTATGACAGTATTATGGATGAAGCATAGATGAGGGAGATGAGAGGTATGGAAGCAAATTATAAGGTGATTAAGGGAGTATGCTAAGCAGTAAAGAGTACTTGATTTAAAGTCACCACTTGGATCACTTGAGTCAGGAGTTGGAGAAGAGCCTGGCCAACATGGTGAACCCAATATCTACCAAAAATACAAAAAAATTAGCCAGCTGGTGTGCATCTGTAATCCTAGCTACTTGGAGGCTGAGGCAGAAGAATCACTTGAACCTGGGAGGCAGAGGTTGCATGAGCCAAGATTGCACCACTGCATTCCAGCCTGAGCAACAAGAGCAAGACTCCATCTCAGGGGAAAAAAAAAAGAAGAAGAAGAAGAAGAACACCCCTGATGGGAATCAAAAACAGCAACAAAAAGATTTTTCTGCAAGAACTGACCAGACTGACCAGACTTTGTGCATGTATGACTGGATAAGGAAAGAGGAGGCTTAACAGCTTTCAGTTTGTACATCAGGCTATAAGTGTTTTAAAAGAGACTTGCTTGAATCAATGATGAAAGGGCTTGATAATTCTACTCTTTCATTTTACTAGAGAAAATGAAGAGAACAGAAAACATTTATTAGTCCATTTCATACTGTTGTAAAGAACTACTTGGCCAGGTGCAGTGGCTCATACCTGTAATCTCAGCACTTTGGGAGGCGAAGATGGGCAGATCCCTTGAGGTCAGGAGTTCAAGATAAGCCTGTCCAACATGGTGAAACCATATCACTACTAAAAATGCAAAAATTACCTGGGCATGGTGATGGGCACCTGTAATCCTAGCTACTCAGGAGGCTGAAGCAGGAGAATCACTTGAACCTGGGAAGCAGAGGTTGCAGTGAGCTGAGATCATGCCACTGCATCCAGCCTAAGGAACAGAGTGAGGCTCCATCTCAAAACACACCAACAAACAAACAAACAAACAAAAACTGCTCAATTTTGAGTAATTTACAAAGGAAAGAGGTTTAATTGACTTACAGTTCTGCATGACTATGGAGTTCAAGACCAGCCTGGCCAACATGAGGAAACCCCATCTCTACTAAAAATACAAAAAAATTAGCCAGGCATGGTGATGGGCACCTTTAATTCCAGCTACTTGGGAGGCTGAAGCAGGAGAATCACTTGAACATGGGAGGCAGAGGTGGCAGTGAGCCGGGATCATGTCATTGCACTCCAGCATGGGCAAGAAGAGTGAAACTCCATCTTAAAAAAAAAAAAGAAAAGAAAGGCCGGGTGCGGTGGCTCAAGCCAGTAATCCCAGCACTTTGGGAGGCCGAGGCGGGTGGATCACGAGGTCAAGAGATCAAGACCATCCTGGTCAACATGGTGAAACCCCGTCTCTACTAAAAATACAAAAAAATTAGCTGGGCATGGTGGCACGTGCCTGTAATCCCAGCTACTTAGGAGGCTGTGGCAGGAGAATTGCCTGAACACAGGAGGCGGAGGTTGCGGTGAGCCGAGATCGCGCCATTGCACTCCAACCTGGGCAACAAGAGTGAAACTCCATCTCAAAAAAAAAAAGAAATAAAAGAAAAGAAAGAAATTATAAAATGAGTGAACTGCTCAGTAAGACAAATATTCCTCCTAGCCTTCTAAATTGAGAGCAGCAGACAACAGTAAGGTAAATGTCAGTAGCATGTTCCTGACAGGTTGTACAGCAGCCCTGGTTCAAGGATTTCTCCCCATAAATGATTCTAAGACTGTTTGCTAGTTGATTCTTTGTTTTAGCGATTTGATGGTTTTGGATGAATTTGCTGTGATCCAGGGGTGTTCAAGTACTTCTCTGAGCATTGGCCTCTGGCTGGGATTATGCTTCAACGGTCTTGAAGTCTTGAAATCAAATCTCAAAAAAAAAAAAAGAAAAAGAAAGAAATTATAAAATGTTACATAATGAGTATGTCAGCTAACAGTAGCAAAAGCCAAATGCACTTGTACATACTTTGAGTTTCTTTGTCTAAATTAATGGAATCACCTTTTTCTGCCTGATAGGACTTTGATTCTGGAGTCATAAATGCGCAGTCACCACCCACAGTCACAGAAGAGAAGTCAGCCACTGACCTGACAGCAAAACTCTTGCTTCTCGATGAACTGGTGTCCCTAGAAAATGATGCAATTGAGACAAAGAAGAAAAGGAGTTTCTCTGGTTTTGGGTCTCCCCTTGACAGACTCTCAGCTGGCTCTGTAGATCACAAAGGTAAACAGAGGTAAGTGAACTCTTAGAAAAAGGAAGTTTTTGTTTTCTATTATTATTTCTTTCTGGGTTCTAAAACAGAAATAATTCCACATAAAAAATACAGTGAAAACCTTGTATATAGATAGATTTGACAGCACATTAGCTAATCTGTGGCTTTAATAGTATGGTTTTCAAAATAACTCTTTAGGACGCAAAATGGGTTCAATAGTGTGCATTAGTTTTTTTGTCATAATATTTCCTAAGAAAGATTCTGCCTTATGCAGATATAAAACAGTTATTATAAGAAATTACTGCATTTAGAGGTGATGAGAAATGTATGTGCAGTCATATTAATATTCTGATCAATTGAGTTTTCCATTTCATAGAGGTGAAATGCTTTCCAAATTGTGTCAATGAAACTGAATGAAAAGCTCTCAGAAATTGGGGTCAAAACACACGTGTTTCTGTCAAATATATGTTTACTTCTTTCCATGTGACTTGTATAAGTATCTTATCGTCTCTGATCCTCAGATTATTTATCCATAAAGTGAGGATAATTACTTCCTTCCATAAAATTCAAGTAAGATAATTAAATGTAAATGCTTCATAGAATGCTAATTATTATAATAAACTTAGAGCAGTGAAATATCCCTATAGACACTAAGAAACTGTCAGTAATTTAAAGTAATCATTTCAGACTTAATTCATTTTCTACCCTCAATATCTGTTCCTCGTGCTATACATTTCATATAGCAGTGACAGCAAAGACCACCCAAGTACCATAGACAGGTATCTGAAAAACTTACCAAGATTTCTTTTGTTCACCCTTAAAATTTCTCACTAAATTCTCTAAATACAGTTTGCTTTATATATTATGTAACTCCAGAATATCACCATTCATTAAGGCTTTCCTAATTCTGGCCGAAATTATTAATTTTTTCACATTTGTTCTTTCTCTACTCTTTCCTCATCTCCACCCCACCACCATCACCATCCCTTTATCACCAACGTATCGTGGACTTGGCTACCAGGATGATCATCTAGAACAAAAATCTGTGTGAAATGTTATTCATTGCTTACAGTACAAAAGTCAAACTCCTTTGCAAGTCCTACAAAGAATTTCATAATCTGAAACCGCTTTTCTTCTGGTACTTATTTTCACATCCTTTGCTTCCATCTTTCTTGATTCTTAGAGGTTTGGGACTTTTTATTCTTGTTCCTGGTTCCATAATTTTTCTATGCTAAATGATTGTCAGGATGCTTGTTGCAATTTGATATACCTCTGTTCTGAAGGATTCTCAAAGCTGCAATAGAAAATAAAATCATCACTTAAAGACTATAATTTATACTACATATATGTTAAAAACAATCCTATCCTATATTTTTAAATTTAGATCCTACTTTAACTAGAGAAATAGAAATTAGTTCCACTATGTTCTAGATAATGTGTTTGGTTCTGGTGAAAAAGAGGAGAAAAATATAGTTTATGTACCTCAAAAAAAATCACATGCTTATATAAAATATAGTATTATTTATAACAAATTGTAATACAAGAAATGACGAAGAGAAAAAGGAACATTAGTACACTGTTGGTGGAAATGTAAATTAGTATAACAATTATGGAGAAGAGCTTAGAGGGTCCTCAGAAAACTAAAAATTGAGCTACCATATGATCCAGCATCACCACTGCTGAGTATGTATATCAAAAAGGACTAATTTAAAAAGAACATCAGCATCCGAAGGATAGTTGAGCTTTTAGAAAAGAAAATATGGTGTTTTCTAATAAATGTTACTTCTTTGACTCATGGATATTGCAACATGGTCAACTAAATAATCTGTAAATCAATATATAAAGGCTATTCATAAATACATATAAATTTATTAGAGCATAAATACTAAACAGAGTATACTAAATATATATTGCATAAATACTATAAAATTTACGTTGAAGTTTCATTGTATGATATGGTTTGGTGTGTACCCATCCAAATCTCATCTTGAATTGTAGTCCCTATATTCTATGCAGCTATATGGCTATAAAAAGGCATGAGAGATTGGGTGCAGTGGCTCATGCCTGTCATCTCAGTACTTTGGGAGGCCACGGCAGGTGGATCACGAGGTCAGGAGATCCAGATCATCCTGGCCAACATGGTGAAAACCCGTCTCTACTCAAAATACAAAAATATTACCCGGGCATGGTGGCACCCACCTGCAGACCCAGCTACTTGGGAGGCTGAGGCAGAATTGCTTGAACCCAGGAGACGGAGGCTGCAGTGAGCCAAGATTACACCACTGCACTCCAGCCTGGGCGACAGAGAGACACTCCATCTCAAAAAAAAAAAAGCATGAGAGTTACCTCTATATTCTACTATAGAATAAGATTTAGGACATTGTTAATTAGTAGTAGCAAGATAAATATATGAATATAGTATACTTACATGTATGTTTATATTTAAAAAACAAAGCAATAAAACACAAAGTATTTTTAAATGACTTCCAATAGAAAAAAGTAGATAAAAGGATAACAGAATAAACATAAAAGATTAACTTATTTGAATATACAGTAAGTCCTCATTTAATGTCATCAAAGTTTCTTGGAAACTGTGACATTAAATGAAACAATATCTAACAAAACCAGTTTTGTCATAAGCTAATTCATATGAAGAAGAGTTAAGTTCTTATGGCGTAGTTCTGATCACAAAAACATCACCAAACTTCTAAATAAGGACCCACTTGTAAATAAATATAAGCTGTACATACGCTTAAGAAAGACTTGGCCAGGTGCTGTGGCTCACGCCTGTAATCCCAGCACTTTGGGAGGCCAAGGCAGGTGAATCACGAGGTCAGGAGTCTGAGACCAACCTGGCCAACATGGTGAAACCCTGCCTCTACTAAAAATACAAAAAACTAGCTGGGTATAGTGGCGGCCACCTGTAATCCCAGCTACTCGAGAGGCTGAGGCAGGAGAATCACTGAACCTGGGAGGTGGAGGTTGCAGTGAGTCGAGATTGTGCCACTGCACTCCAGCCCAGGGAGACAGAGTAAGACTCCATCTCAAAAAAAAAAAAAAAAAAAAAAAAAAAAAAAACTAATAAAAATAAGTAAGATCATTATCCAAATACTTGGTGAATCAGCGAGTGACAGCAGTCACAGTGGTAGTGGATTAAATCAAGAAATAAATGTTTGCAGAGTGAAAATTGTAAAAGTCACCTCTGATCACTCATAATTCCAAAACAAGTGTTAACAAACACAGTAGGCCACTGAGCACGTTCATACTGTGTCATGTACCGTTGTGCATTTGTACGTTTATCCTATACTTTACAAATTTTTATTTAACACTAATTTGTTTTCATTCATTTATTCATTTTCCAGCCTGCTTATTCCAGTTCAGGATCACAGGTGGCCAGAGTCTATCTCAGCAGCTCAGAGACCAAGGTGGGAACCAATCCCGGACAGTACATATTTTATCTCAGGGCACACTGGCATATACACCTACATTCACTCATATTGGGACAATTTAGACAGGCCACAGAAATGAACACACATATCAAACATGCATGTCTTTAGGATGTGGGAAGAAACCATGGTACCTAGAGAAAACCCACAGAGATGAGAAGAAGTTGCTAACTCCACATAGACGGTAGCCCTACTAGGAATCACATTTTTTATACAACAACATTATAGCTAAATGAAGTTGAATGAAACAGTATTATTTGAACGCCTGCTGTACCATGCTTTAACTTTGGAGCCATTTAAGTACATTAGATATGTGTATATTAGATAATGTGATAACAAAAATAAATATTAATATGTGGTACCTAAATACTTTAAAATATCAATAGACATTACATGAGTTGAAACAAATTAGCATAAAAATGTATTCCAGTTAATAGCATTATTGCACAAAAAAGATTTATACCAAGTGACAAAATAAAATCATTTGAATGTATATCCCTAGTGAAATATATGAGATGAAGCCTGAAAAAAAAAAACCTGAAACTATTTTGAAAAATCATATTACTGGTGATAATATGGGTATTGCTATTCTGAGGTTGTTGAGTTTGTACTGTGAAATAAAGCAAATATGTATTTATTTGATAATCCAATTCTGTCATTCTCGATGCAAATAAGAACTAGGATTCACGTCATGGAAAAAATGAAATAAAGTTATTAGTTGAACATCTTAAATAAAATCACAACAACTGATAAGGCGTGATTTCAAAACGTCCACAAAACACTCATATTAATATAAATTTATATTTCTGAATTAATATCAGCATGTACTTATGATTCAGTCTGTGCACTAAAATTCCTAAAAACAATCACTAATCCAAAAGAAATTAGCAACTCTAATGCCCAGATGGTCATCTTTCAATACCACTTTTCAGTTAAAGGATCTAGAAAGCCTCCTCAGACAAAGACTTGGAGCAGAAAATGCACAAAGTGAGCTCGAATATCTTGTCATACCTGATAGCAAGGAAGCTTGCTATTTTTAATTTCAGGTCAAAAGAACTCAAGAGCCAATCTGAGGACATTTGGAATAACTAAAGTATGATGATCTGAGCATCAGTAAAATCATTAACTACACTGCATTAAGTCTGTTTAAATCTATGACTTAAAAATCTTTAGAAAATGATAGTTATCAGTTCATTGTTCTTGAAAATGTATAAATGAAGAGAACATTAGACCTATCTTTCTTATGTGACCTTCACCACTAATAGTAGAGGAGGCAGAATTTTCTCTTTATAGAATGTTTGCATCTAAAACAATCAAGAAATTGTAGAGTTAGTAAATGAGGTAGAAATTTCTCTTCATAAAATTATTTCGGCTAAAAAATGAAAAAAAAATGATAAAATTAGAAAATTTCTATTTTGCATACCTCACTGGAAGAGGTCTTGCAAGGAGTAGCCAGGAGAAAGATTATCCTGACCTCTCTCCTGCTCTTCCTCTATTCTCTCTTCTCCAAATCATCTACTGCTTAATTCATACCAAAGCCAGAGAGCACAGGAACATTTATGTGTTCCAAAAAGATCAGTCTCCTAGGGCTGAAAGTCGGGTAAGAAAAGGCAGCATAAATCCGAGAGCAGAGGGAAGACAGCCAGCAAAATTATATACATCCTCTCAGTTTAGATCAAGAGACACTTTGCTTCAGAATATTGTTATTATAACACCTAATTGAAAGAGAAAAACTCCATAGGACATAATCAGAAAAAACAGCTTTTCCTCCTATCCCCAGGCATTCCAACCCACTCAGTAGGAGTTGTTGTTCCCCATCCCTTGAATAAACCCAAAGGCAGGTGATAATGGCTCTACTGGTCGAATGGAAATAATAAGCATCCCTCTGGTAACTTTTATTAGAAAAATAACTATATAACAGTAATTCAAATAATCGTTCTTATATGTGACCCTAAACCATGAATATTAATAAAGCTTCTCTTTTTTTTTTTTTTTTTTTTTTTTTTTTTTTTTTTTTTTTTTTTTTTTGAGACGGAGTCTGGCTCTGCTGCCCAGGATGGAGTGCAGTGGCACAATCTCAGCTCACTGCAACCTCTGCCTCCCAGGTTTAAGTGATTCTCCCGCCTCAGCCTCCTGAGTAGCCATGATTACAGGTTCATGCCACCATGCCCAGCAAATTTTTGTATTTTTAGTAGGAATGGGGTTTCACCATGTCGATTGGGCTGGTCTCAAACTTTTGACTTCGTGATCCGCTTGCCTTGGCCTCCCAAAGTGCTAAGATTACAGGCGTGAGCCACTGTGCCCGGCAAAGCTTCTCTTTTCTTTAGCTTGGACCCGATTCCAGCTGGAACGCTACCGTGGAAAGCAGCCTGTGGCTAGTTCATATTCACATTTTCCCCCACCACAGTAGGCTGCCTTGTGTTTCCTTCAGAACTGGGGATGGAGTTGCATGCAGAGAAGTAAAACAAAGTCTTACTTGACTGATAATATCATGATCTGTCTTAGTGCCCTCTGGCTTTGGTGAATGCTCAAAGCTGACTCATCATGGAATGTTTTTGGGAGTCACACAACTCTCAGACGTCCTTACCTCTTCTGGCAGGTTGGTTAAGTCCTTCATCCTCATCCTGCTCTCTAGTCTGCATTGGATACCACCGTCAGCATCCTGCTGAGTTTGCTTCACCCATTAGCCCTGGCGGAAAGCCCTGGGGGCAATGTCCCGTTTGTAACTGACCCAAGCTGACTCTATTCACATGCTCTACATCTGCCCTCAGAAAACCCACATCCTTGAGTCTGATAACTGAAAATGAAGCTGTTCTTGGTGCAGTCATCTCTTCACTCTGATATCAAGCCAATTCTCACAGCTTCTTGCCCTTTAGATCTCATAGACACTATTTTATTAGGTTCACCATGGGTGAATTTGAAACTCTGTGTTTTCCTCAAAGCCCTTTCCCTATATGAAGAAAGAGGGGAAATGCTATTGTTTTTAATAACTTGCTCCCAAGAAATTCTCCCTTCCTGAACTATTAAGTATGAATCCTTTTATTGGATTGAAGTTGGAAAAAATCAGCTTGTAGCCACTTCCTTTGGAAATACTACATAAGTCTAGCACCTCACTTTGGAATGCAAAAGGAAATACTACCCACATAGTTACTCTTTTTAAGCCACGGCCAAAAACTGAGATATAAAGAATCCCATTTTAACATTCTGGTACATTTTTTAAAAAAAATCTCTATCTCTATCACACGCTAAGAAGGAGGTATTATTGTTACCAGAAAGGGGTCCCGAACCAGACGCCAAGAGAGAGTTCTTGGATCTCACACAAGAATGAATTTGGGGGGAGTCCACAGGGTAGTGAAAGCAAGTTTATTAGAGAAGAAAAGGAACAAAAAAATGGCTACTCCATAGACAGAGTAAGGCTCAAAAGCAAGAGGAGGAATGCGTCCTCTTTAGGTATAATGCTTGTTTATATATAAGATAATAAAGCAAAAAATATATATATATCCTTGGGGAGATGTGCAATACTACAAGGGCTTGTGACAAAGGATTGTTAATCTTTGTGTAACTATTGTCTTACTCAATAGTTTATATTATTATCTTCAAAGTGAAACTTATTTTTAAACTAAGAATGTTTTTGTTTTTAAGATGTAGTGATGTTGTAACCGGGTCGCAGGACGGAGCTCAGCACCCCCACCCAGCTGATGTGCCTGAGGGTCCTGGGCTCCCTGGCCCCAGGAACGGGAAAGAGGCCCTGGCAGAGAGGTGAGCTTACGGACAAGTAAATATGGGACCCAAAGCGTCTTGCAGACAGAATTTATTAGGCAGAGAAAGAGAGAGAAGCAGAGAGAGCTCCCAGAGGATGCCCTGTTGTGGGAGGGCATCCCAGAGTGGGAAAGCCGCAAAGGCAGAGAGGCAGAGACGGCTTTGAAGTTATTCCCGCCCCATTCATGTTTTTGTCCAATGAGAGGAGTTCTTTCAGACTTCCTCTGGAGTGATTGATCTTCGATTCTGATTCCACATTGGTTGCTTGGGCCCACAACAGAACCCCTCCTTCCAGGGCTTTTGGCGGGCTTTCTGAGCAAAGGAAGCTTACCTGGAATTTTACCTAGCCCACCAGACCGTTAGGTTCCTGGATGGGGAGGTGGCGCTGGGAAGTTCTTGCCTTAGAAACCACGTCCCTTGTGGACCCGGTAAGAGAAGTTAACACAGTCCTTCAACATCAGGAAATTTCCTGGGCTTGCTAAGTGCTGGGTCTGTGCCATAAACATTATTAACTTGTTTTCTTAACTGTCAACATCCTCTGACTAAAATGCCTAACCTTCTGGAAATGCAGTCCAGCAAGTCTTAGCCTCGTTTTACCCAGCCCCTATTCAAGGTGGAGTCACTGGTTCAAATGCATCTGACATTATGATCCACATTTTATTATGTTTTCAGAGAGATAAAATGATTTCCCTGAGATTATGTAGTTATAAATTCTGTGCCGGATTGTTTAACTCCAAGGCTATGACTTTATACTTAATTTCTTTGTAAAAATTAGCTTTCTACAAAGCTACTAGAGCGGGCAGGAGGGGAAAAATGGCAGGGAGGGCAGGCAGTGAGGCTCTGGTTAGCCTAAGTAAATCTACCTTTTACATGTGAAATGAGGAAGTAGAGGGAAAAGTCAATTTGTCTTAAGCTACATTCGACAAATAAATTAAAGCTCTGTGTGAATAAGATATTTGTCAAAGGCCAGGAACAGTGAGATTCACGTAGAATATATATGCATTAAATGAATACTTTTAGAATTCTTGCAACCGGCCGGGTGCAATGGCTCACACCTGTAATCCCAGCACTTTGGGAGGCCCAGGCGGGCAGATCACAAGGTCAGGAGATTGAAACCATCCTGGCCAACATGGTGAAACCCCGTCTGTACTAAAATACAAAAAATTAGCCAGGCTTGGTGTTGCATGCCTGTAGTCCCAGCTACTAGGGAGGCTGAGGCAAGAGAATCCCTTGAACCCAGAAGGTGGAGGTTACGATGAACTGAGATTGCAACACTGCACTCCAGCCTGGCAACAGAGTGAGACTTGGTCTCAATTTAAAAAAAAAAAAAAAAAAAAAAAAAAAAAAAAAAAAGAATTATTGTATCCATCATATGTGGATTTTTATCCTAAGGAGTCTGCAGCAACCTCACTTCTTGCCTCCTCAGAAGAAAGACTTCCATCGAGGGTCATAAAGCAGAAGAGACCTCGTCAGGTTTTAGAGCAGGAGTGGAAGTTTATTTAAAAACTTTAGAGCAGCTGAGCACAGTGGCTCAAGCCTGTAATCCCAACACTTTGGAAGGCCGAGGCGGGTGGATCACAAGGTCAGTAGATCAGCCTGACCAACACAGTGAAAACCTGTCTCTACTAGAAATACAAAAATTAGCCCAGCGTTTTGGCACGTGTCTGTAGTCCCAGCTACTGGAGGCTGAGGCAGGAGAATCGATTGAACCTGGGAGGCAGAGGTTGCAGTGAGCCAAGATCGCACCACTGCACTCCAGCCTGGGCTATAGAGTGAGACTCCATCTCAAACAAACAAACAAACAAAAAGCTTTAGAGCAGGAATGAAAAGTCAAGTACACTTGGAAGAAAGCCAAGTGGGCATACTGGAGGTCATGTGCCTTGTTTGTTCTTGGACTTAGGGTTTTATATGCTGGCCCACTTCTGGCATCTTACATCCCTTTTTCAATGGAATGCCCCTAGAAGGTCATGTACCAGTTAAACGCCACCATTTTACCTCTTAATGTGTATACTTAAGCCCACTCCCCTAACTCCTGAGATCTTATCAGGAAGTTGCTGATCATCAGTTTCAGATATTTCCTATCTATAAACTGCCTTTTCCTGGTGCTAGCTGTGACCAATTATTATTTTAGAGAGGCAGTGTGACAAATGCCTGACCATAGCTTGATGGTCACCTGACTTTCCTGGTGGGGTGTGGGGGCCCTCTTTTGCCCTGGTCTTATTCATACCCCCAGTACAGCTATGCACTGTAACAACAGGTTCAGGCTAAAGTTGAGAATAGCAGTGCCCAATTCAATTTGTCAGATATGATTGCTCTTCTTGACAAAAATCCCGAAGATTAAGATTAAAAATTCTAACATTTTATTTTCTTTCTAATTTGTTGTGAAGAAATGCCATAGAACTAGGCCAATCGAGGCATCTCAAGGTTTATGCTTTTCTTTTTAGCTCTCATTTGGTCATCTCCAGAGGAAGTAGTTGAAAATGGGCTTCATTTCAGGTGTGAGAAACACAGAAAAGGGATTCAGTGTTAACCAAAATGTGACTGAGGCATTTCTCAATCAATAGAGGTAGATTTGGCCAAAGCTGAAGATACTGACCCGGAAAAAAATCCAAGTCCCAGGAGTACCTGTGACCTGTGCTTTTTCCAAACTGGAAAGAGCATGCGGGGGTTGGGGGAAGTCAGGGAGGGCAGGCAGTAAGGCAGATGCCTCCACTCTGTGAGGCTCTGATTAGCCTCAGTAAATCTACATTTTACATATGAAAAGAGGAAGTAGAAGGAAAAGTCAGTTGTGCATTCTCTCAGGCTCCGTAAATCTACATTTTACATAAGTAAAGTAAACATGTGAAGAGAGGGAGTAGAGGAAATGAGGCTGCGATAAGGGGTTGTGGAATTAGAGCTGTCAGTTTAGAAACCAAAGGAAGGCAGTAGTATTGACCCAGTTCCCGGACTTAACTTTTCCCTTGTGGCCTAAGTGAGTTTGAGGAGATTCTGTGTTCTTTCACAAGACTGTGCCGCCGTTTTACGCACCGCCTTCTTAGACAATGGAAATGCCTTTGACCAGAATGATCTTGGGCCATTCTTGCCAGTGACTGTGGTCAGCCATGCCTCTTCTCAGCTCAGCTTAATACCACAGACAGTCCTTTTACCTTTTCTCCCAACCCAGTTTACGTATGAAGCTTTAAAACTTTCTCCGAAAAGGGATAATACTCAATTCCATAGATAGGCTTTGCAATGTACATTACACACCCTAACCCCTAAAAGAACACTCTACAGGATATTTTTGTTTAAGTCTTTTGCTGAATAGAAGTTTATAAGTTTCATAGCTCCTCAAGGTTCATGAGCCAAGCAAACAGAGACCCTCTCTGCCTTATATGATAACTCTGTGTTACTGGTGGAGGTGTCCAGGTTCTTGGCATCTTCAACAAAGAATTAAACAAAACCCACAAACAAAGCAAGGAAAGAATGAAGCAACAAAAACAGAAATGTATTGAAAATGAAAGTACACTCCACAGTGTGGAAGCAAGTCTAAGCACAGGCGCTCAAGGGTCCCATTATAGAATTTGGGAGGGGGGGTTAAATGCCCTCTAAAGGATTCCTTCAGTTACTTGCTGTATGCCCTATGTAAATGAAGGGATGAAGTAAAGATACAAAGTCATTTACTGGGCACACCCTACGGAGAGGATATTTTCTGTCACAGCAGAAGTGTGAATTGGCCTTAGGTTCCTTGCCTGCAGACTCTTATTGTCCTGCCTCATCTACAGCCGTTTCCAAATTAAGCATGCCAATACAGTCATTTAAAATTATGTGATTCCAGTACTCATGGCTTCAGTCTGAATGCCTGTCCATGTGGCCGATTCCTTGAAAGAATACATCAGAAGCTGACATTATGCCTAGTCAGCACCATCATCATAATAGCGAATTATTACTTTTGAGACAGAATTCCAGAAGTCAAAAGTAAACTTTCTGCTAAGTGAATTAACAGTTTCTTTTGTTATTGGAAAGTACCCTATTTACTAGGTGGGAACCAATTGTTCCTATCCTCAACATGATGAGACTCTTGTTAGGAAATCAACTGGCTTTCACCTGTCATTTATTCAGTCCTCCCCAGGGGGAGGAATGGCCACTTCTCCGATTGGTCAGTTTGGGAGGAGTAGTTGAGCATGTTGAGCTTATGTGCTTCCTTCCTCTTTTTATTGGAAAGCAATGACTAGTAATAGAGGTCTGTCTAATACAGAGAGAAAACAACAGGGAGCCCTATGAAGTGCAGATATAAAGCCGCATTTTATATTCAGCTTGATCAGTAATAAAAATGACATTTTGTTTACTATGCATTGATCAGTCATAGTTTATTTCTCTACTGTTTCTGAATGTGAACTTGAGAAAAAGAGGCATTATGTTTTGGTTCCTTAAAACCATATCACCATTCAGATTTAATGTGTTCCTTCATCCTGTCATTTCAGAATTTGAATTTAAAAGGCAAATCACTTTAACTATTAACATGGCCCTGTGCACTTCCTTCTCATCCTTCACAGCTTCTTGCCAAGTCCTTCATCTTGGTCTGTTCTCATGTGTCAGTCCTTCCAAGGTTGTTCATAGTGATGTCTATCCTAGTGTAAACATTTCTTAGTTTTGCATTTTAATTTTAAATTGCAGTAGCCAAGATTGCAAGATTTATGGATGATCGTTTGTATTATTTTTTTCTACATGCTCCTTAAGTTTTTCCTAAGTTTTTAAAGTTTTCCCTAGAACCCTCAAATTTGGTGTGGTTCTCTTCTCTCATGGAATCTCAGAGCACTGTGAATCTCATGGTATTAGACATCGATTGCTATGCAACAAATTACCTAAAATTGACAGCAGTAAACATTTTTTGTTTTCGCAGTTTCTGTGCATTGGAAATCCAGGAAAAGCTTGACTGGTTTTTTTTCTGGCTCAGGGTCTCTCCCAAGGTTACAGTGAAATGTTGGCCAGGGTTTCAGTCATCTGAAAGTTATACTGAGGCT